TGGAAAAATCATGTCTAAAAGCAGGTAAAACAAACTCCAGATAGTAGGTGTTCTGGTTTTGAATCCTAGTTCCAAAATTAAAAACTAAAAAACCTCAAACAATCTACATAAGTCTGCATGCCTCTGTATTCTCATGTGTAACAGGTAGGTGATAAGACAGTTTTGTTGTGAGAAATACTTGATTTTCTATTTAGGAAGCATTCAGGATGGCGGCTCATACAAAGTTAGTGATGTGTATTATCTTTTCCATAGAAACCTTCCTATTCAATAGAGGAGACATAATTAATTCTCTAATACACACACAATGTCTCAGTACTGCTTTACATCGGAAGCACAAATAACAACATACTCTTCCTCGCTGTTTTTCCACTTCTTCCTGAAATGCATGACTCACTAGCATTTTCCACTTGTACCTATCCTGCTCCTGGGGTGGGAGTGACAAAACTAATTGTCCTCCCTAAAACTGGAGGCAACATCTGAAGTCAGATGGTATGTCTTTGTTCTATCTTTCCTTTTCAAGAAAGAACAATAGTTTGAAATGATAGTTTAAGCATTCTTAGAGAAAGGCAGTTATACCAGCAACTTGCCAGATGTCTCTGATTAATGTGCCTGTGCTCCACCAGACGTTCAGCACGAGCTGGCAATTTTGCTCTGGCAGTGCTAAAGTTTGCTAAGCAATGTCTACATAAACAGGAAACTTAATTTGAGTATAAGAGCTGACCTCTGGATGCATGGTTGTCTTGGTGCTCACAGCAGGACTAACACAGAAATGTTATCTGAGCACTTTCCTGTATTTGTTTGCCTGTGATATTAGGACTTCAGCCTGGAGAAGCACTGTACCTCTCCAGGAGCCCTATGTGACCCTCCACATACTCCATAGTTTGGGCTGTTGGTCTCTGCATTCTCTTCTCTCATTCCTGAGCTTCAAGACTGCAGCTCATTATAACTACTGATGCAGCCCCACATAGAAGAAGCAGGAAGCAACACCAAGCTAACTCCAAATCAGTAGGACACACCCTCACCAGGAAGATGCTGCACAGACTGCTCTTCCTGGAAGCCTCTCACTGCTGTGGGTAGATCTGAGAACACTGGAGTAGGCCTGGTGAACAGAAGTCATCTTAGTCAGGACTCTTCAAGGCCAATCTTCACTCCCCACCTTCCCTGCTGCCTCCACTTGCTTTCTTGCACCTGCTGCTGGGCTCCTCCAAGAAGGAGGGGGACATGGAACAAAGTCTAAGGTTCTAGCTCTAAAGTCTTCTGGTGTTCATCATATTAATTTCAAATCAGAGATCAGAATATCTGATAGATTATAAAGCCGATTCATCATGCAACTTATAATAAATACATCAACAAAGCGGAGTGCCTGTAATAGAAATGGGCTATGTGCCCACATGGTTGTCTGCCTTTGAAGATCTAAAATGGTCCACTGGCACAATGCCAAGGCACTGTAAAGGGCAAAGCAGGTTAGGTGCAGCTTTACAGGAATTCTACTTTGTACGCACCTCAATCTGACAGGCACATTGTCATTTTTGTTGCCTATCCAAAACTTGACACTGGTCTTACTTTAGCATAAAGTGTTCCCAAACTCTGCTAGGTCATTATTCTCAACTCATGCAACAGCAGCTAGACTACATAATCTAGAACCACAAAATCACAGTGAGACTCTTATGGGTATTTAATTTTTAATTTATTAAAACTGGAAATCCAGTTGTGTAAGTGACACTAGCCAAATTCTGAGTGTTTATGGCATGTCTGGCTACTGACTATATACTGGAAAGCACAAATTATAGAACATCATTATCATTGTAGAAAGTTACACTGGACAGGCCTGAATTATGTTAGCAACTTATCTGAAAAAACAGACTGTAGAATTTTTCAAGCAAATTTACAGAATTCCCCAGTGTGATTTATGTAAGTTTTTTCACATAAAGCATGGAAGTGCTACTATTCATATGACTCTTTCAGACCCTAAAACTACACCTACTGGGTACAGGACAATGATATTTGTAAGAGCAAAAGGAAAGCTGCTTTGGAGGAAAGGTGACTCACCGATCATTCACAGTAACTCTGAGCACAGAAAATTATGACTGGTATGTCAGGAGTTTGACTCTCCCATCAATTATTGAAAGAGAATCCTCAAATTCCATCTCTATCCCTCCATCAGGATGTTTCCTCCTCTGGTTCCCATCAGTATTTTTATCTCCCTAGTTCTGCTGGCTACAGGAGAACGGGCTCAGAGACATTCGTTTTAACAAAAATGTAGAAAAGGCTTTCAAAGGCTTTCTGGTCCAAGAGGAGGAGGAGCTTTATGTAAAATGTAGTAGACACATCTAGGAACAAATTTAGCCTTAAATTCATCCAGGAAACTTTTCAACCATTCAATAAGTAAATTATGAGACCCTCATAATGAACAGAGGATCCATGTTGACTGAAGATCTTAATTTTTTTAACATTCCACAAGTGCTGCTAGAGAAGTAGCCAAACCAATAATACTGGGCATTGTCCTTTTATCAGGGAAGCACATTCCTATCTTCTTAATGCTCTCACTTCTAGAAAATTGTTTCTTACAAGATTTTTTATCAATTGCACAAAAGTGATATAAAAATGTTGGAAGTTTACTTCTGGCTTTTCTTTAAACCTAAAACTATTTGAAAATGAAAGAAGAATTGTCAATGCTGAGGACTTCTAAAACACTGAAAAGCTAAGTCTCCAAATTGCTGAATTCAAGCTGTGTTTAACCAGTTGTTTCAGAACTAACAAGGGATACGTCTGTACTTTTGCAGGAGAAATTGAGGCACAAACCAGTCAGTGAGAAAAGAGTGATTCCATGCTCTACTTCATTTGTAAATGCAGAGCCATGAGGCTCTGTGAAAGTGAGCAAGACTTAGGAGAACTTGAATGAGCTAGTTTGTTGTCTTTAGGACTAATCAGTAAGAAATCAGTTAGTCCTTTTCTTTGTCCTGACCTCAGCATGGACTTGCACTCATGTGGCCTGCCTTTGGGGTGAAAGGAATAATCAATAGTTCTTATTCAGAAGACATGATGTCTTTCCTGTACCCCACAAACTACAGACAGAAGAAAAGGAGGAGTTCTGAGCTTTGACTCAGAAACTACTACTGGTATGTTTCCCTGGTTGAAACAGAGCTCGTAAATCCTTTCAAAGGAATATGCTTATCTCAGGTTATTCAGCCCAGATGGCATCTTTTCTCAAGATAAGCATGAGTCTTTGAACAAATAATCTTGGTTTAAGAAGAGAAATCTTGTATCATATGTAAGGAAAGGGTCACAGGAGATGAGCTGTTAAGAAAATTTCTTACACACTGTCTGATACATGAAGGCACATAGCTATTTAAAACAATTTTCAGAGGAAAATATTATATATATGCATATATACATTCATAAATAGTAACAAAATGCATAATATATAATCCTATTATATGTTCTGATACACCAGAAAAAGCACTGGGATGATATTCAATTTTTTAAAATCAAATGTGAATGTGTTACACTTTAAATGAAAATTTTCACTTAAAATTTTAACTTTTTTAAATGAAATAGATAAGTCCTATCTAATCAATTAATAATGAAATGTTTGACTTAATAAAACTCTACTTAGCCAGAGAATAGTATGATTAATAATCCAGGATGACTAGTTTCCTGAACAAGGACATATTGATCATTCACTATTTGCCAACTACTGTCAACATACTGAAGAATTAAACCTCCCTTTATAATGCTGTCATCAAAGTAAATCATTTTATTTGTGTAAATTGGATATTTTATCTTAATTTATAGTACTTGTATATGCGAATAAATTAAAATTTGATTTAATTTCACAGGTCTTGAATTTTGCAACAAAGATCCAGGATCAACCAAGACATGATCAAGCAAAACATCTCATTTTGATTAATAAGTACTTACTCAAAAGTAAGGTGAAAAGGGGCCCTAACTCACATTTCTAATCAATCTTGATATTGGGAAAAAACAAACCCAAGTAACAAAAGAAATGTACACATATACAGATACTCACATTATATGTTCTTTTAAATTCTAATTTTTGCTCCAGACGTAAATAAATGAAAAGGAAATGGAAACACTATTCACTCTAATTTGATCAGTAAAGGCTGTGTACATGTTATAAACCATCACATTGCTTATAAACACGTATAATTATTACATGTACATTCTCAAACAATTTTAAGAGAAGTAATTCTGTTTTTTAAATTGATGCTAGCTTTTCAGTGTTCCTCTGCCTGAAGTGCCCTTTCCACAGATTCCCCGTTCCTTTTAGCCTTTCAGATTTCACCTAAAGGTCACTGCCTCAGCCAGACCTTCACGATGTCCTGTGCTCGTTGCCTCCTTCTCCGCTCCACCCCTGACACTTTCTATCGTACCATTTGCCCCAGTTGATCACGACAAATTTTTATTTGTTTCTGTAATCACTGTCTATATTGAATGAGAAAGCCTACATCTACTTAAGTATTTAACATACTGGCCAGCAGAGTCGTGCTCCATAGAAGCCAGTCTCCTCTGAGCCTCCAGCAGGGGCCTTGTTGGTGATGTTTGCAGCCTACCTGCTAAGAAATGTTCTCACTATATGCAGTTATATTCCACTGTAGTTTGGATGCTTTTTTGTATTAACTCCACTAGAAATAAAAACTGTAGATTTCCTAAGACTGCTTTGTCACTCTTCTAGGGGCTCCAGATAATGAAGTTGGCTATCCGTAAACTTAGGTCCTCAGCTGTGTCTGGATCTATACCTATAAATAAAAATTCTATGTACCTTAAAGTCCACGCAAAGTACAGTTCCTGCTTTAAAGAACACTTCTGCTTAATGTGAGATACATCTGCAAAACAAACCCATTTGGGAAACTCTTCTATCTCCAAATCTGGAAATCTATATGCTCCCTGGCATTTACGACCTTTGCACAAACAGATTCCTCTAGTTTTTCACAATATAATGCCATCTGTGTTAAGAGGGTTGGGAACTGCTTACTTACCTGGAGTCCTTTCTGACTCTGGCTTTCTCAAAGGAAAACTCAGGGGGTTTGTTGAGGTCATAGGTTCGGGTGGTTGGCTCAGCAGACACCCCTGCCTTGGCTCCCCTCCTGCTATGGAGAGAGACCAAGCCTGAGGTCTTCCGGTGGACCTCGAGCGGCACCTTCTCTGGAGAAGCCTGGAGTGGGCTTCCTCCCTGGATGTGCACCACATCCTGCAGCTTGTTCAGCTGGATGCACTTGTTCTGGAGCTCCTCTGTGAGCTCAGCAATGGCCACAGTCTGCTTTGACAGCTGCTCCCGCAGCTCCTTCAGATGATACTCTCGCTCCTGGATCTCAGCATCCTTCCTCCTCAGCTCTCTCTCCAACTCCGTCACCCTGATCCGGAGGGCATCAGCACTGAGGTTCCCAGAATGGCCATCTGGATGCTTGGAATGTTTGGGTTTCACTGAGCCATTTCCCATGTTGCCCTGGGACCTGAGGAAGGGCAGAGAATTGAGAATGACCAAAAGAGTTCAGTTTTGCCACAGCCGCACTTCCCCTCTCATTCCAATCTGCTTCATGGATAGAAGTGAAGCAGTCATCATTGTTTGACAAGTCCTTAATTCCCTCCAAGAGAAGGAGCTGGCATTTACGTTCATTCTTCCCCTTTCCTTTGCACAAGTATGGAGCTTAAGCATTCTGCCTGGGTTAGCTGCTGTTCTCTTTGGTCACTCTCTCTGGACAGCTATCAAAAGCATCACAATAAGACTATGATTTGGATGTCAGCATGGCAAAAGAGAAGATACAAAGGAGCAGCTACAGCAACAAAGGCTTGGAAATGTCACAACTCTCACACCTCCCTGTGTAGAACACAGTAAGGAAGCTTCCCCTGATTTACAAAATAACACAGCCACATTCCTACAAGAGAGAAATAGACTTGGTGTTGCTTTATTAGAGCTTTTCTACTGGTGTAGGTACTAATGAATGCTGTATTTATGATAATGCTTACTGTCTAAAAAAAAAAAGACTTGTGGATTGCAGTCTCTAGAAGAACATGGAGGCATGGAGATTCTTCTACATTCCTTACTTTAGAACCTAAAGTCAAGGTTGTCCAAAACATGCTGACCTATGATATGAAGCCCCATTCTCCAGCTACTGAAAAATCCTCAGTGCAGGTCCCAAAGTAATCACTACTCCTGTGATTCTCAGGACATGACAGAATGATCAGGAACTATGATAGATGATTTTAGTTGGTTCAAAAATTATTTCTAGCTTAATAGCTGTTTAATTAATTTAACATTTATTAAAAATTATAAATAGTACCACAAATTGATGTCACTGCTTAAGTAGGTGCTAAAATAAGTATTTTAGGCTTGCTGAGACAAATCAATATAATAAAGACAAATAAATATAGGGAATAACACAGATGAACAAGATCATGAAAAACAAATTCAAATTAGTGAAATTTGGCAAATATTGCTACAATTAATTTCCATAAGGCCAATAGTTTCTTAGGTTATCTATTTCAGCATCATGTTTTTGCAAATGCAGTTTTTGGTAGCTGTAACCCATAAAAGCATGATAGCATTTTCAGACTAAGCCTGAATTACTTTTTTTTTTTTTTTTTTGGTAAGACAGTTTCAATAATTAACACATTGCATACATTCTTCCTAGTGGTTAATTGCTGTACAAGATACAGACATGATATCCTATTTACAAACACTATCAGAACAAATCCCTCTATTCATTAAGAGAATGTAACTATATATCTATCCTAACCATTTTGAATA